AATAAGTAAAATAAGTATAAATTGACACTTTTGTATGACTAACACTCCAATTTTATCCTTACAATGTAATTTTTACACTAGGATGTCACGTATTTTTTGGTTTAATTTACCAGATGTCACTCAGCGTAAAAGAATATAAGGAGAAAATGCATTTTACAGAATTGTTTTAGTTGAAGTTTTGCAAAATTCAAAAGGTACGTAAGATTTTTAATGCTGTTTTCTTAATTAACATTTCGTTCAATTAGGTCTTAAACCTAGTAATACATTAAATATCCAATAACGAATTCAAATGAATTGGTATAACGAATTTAAAAAAAATCGTCAAAATAATTTCGACAATAAGTTAATCGAATTCAAAAATATTTTTGATAGACAGAGGTCCTAAATGTTCTTTTGAACAGTTCTTTTTTAGAATATCATCATAACAGTCAAATATACATGTAAAGATCTGATGAAAAAATAAATATTCTCCGTATTAAAGTGTACAAAATATTTTCAGAGAAAATGATATTCTATATTATCTAACATTTTTCTACATTAGTTTAATTTTTGCGCCACATGCTGTGTAGATAATATTTAACATAGCAAGAAAAATATTAACCAAAAATTTTGTTACATGCAAGTGTTATAAAAAGATGTAAGTAACATTCGAAATGACCGTACATGTTGTAATATTCAAAATGACCGTACATGTTTCAGTTCTTTATGTTTTTCAAAAAGTTAAAACTTCAATCAAAATCATTTGTTTTCCAAATTCCAACAAAATCTATTCTTGTTATTATTAAATACAATGTATGACCAGAAATCCATCCAAACATTTCATAATAACAATATTCTGCTTTGTGATTGGTAGATGAGGCTTGTTCTGTTTATGGCTCTGCTATTTCTTCTCCACTGCTTGTTCCAAGAAGGAGAAGGCAAAACTGTAAAGAATCCGAAAGGTTGTACCTGTGGTGGCTGGTGGAGACGATGTTCATGTGGTAGATCTTTGGTGAGTAACTATCTCATCATTTAGAATCAAAAAATGGAATTTGATATTTTAGAAAACGAACTTGAAGAATATAAAGAAATATCGCCAAAATATGGTACATATCATTCCGTAATTCACCTCGGACATCGTTGAAAATAGTTCAAGGGATGAAATTGTATTAGTCATGCTGATTTAAAAATGAATCCAAAAATTATCAGCAACAATCACAATTTGAATATCATTACTTCTTTTCAATTATCGAAAATAGACATGATTTTTATAATTATGTTATTTTTTTATATTTCGGAAGGTTGGTGAGCGCGAAGCATCAGATATCATGCAGGATTTTAAGCGGGTACGTAAGAGATAAATTTATGATTGAATTTAAAGTGGAATTAAAAGTAGAAATTTAATAATTTATCTATTTTTTGCATTTTTCAAAATTCTTTCTTATCTTCTTTTAGATGGAGGAAATGGCTGATGATGCCTCAGACGATTAAGACACAATCTTGGTTTGAAAAGAAAGTTGTAAAGCTATATTTGTTGAATAAAATTAGAATTGTTTTCTTTTTTGATATTTAGATATAAACAGAAATATCGGGTAGCAGCCCCATTTTAGCCCATTTATATGATATTTTATAGAGAAAAAAAGGAAAAAGAAAGGAAAAATTAAACAGCCAAAGCATGACATATATTGAGATAAATACGGTATACAAGCTTAAAAGTCCTTCAAAACAATGAGAATCAGTAGCAGAGCAAGTAGGAACCTCTAACATATCAGAGGTGTGATCAGGTGCAATAAGCTGTTATTCATTCCCCAAATATTGTTTAACGATTTATACTTGATTAGAAAAGAATCAACACATAGTTTTGCATAACATAATTTCTTCCAAAATTTTAATGTGTGCTCTGTGGAGACTCAATTAAAAGCGAAAACAACTTTTTTCCTTTACACTCCAAGATGTCAACAAAGAAATTGACGCGGTTAAACACAAAGGGGCCGAGTCTTGTATTCCACCATATATCAAAATGAAGACTACACTTAAAATTGTATTTCATACAAATATACATGGAATATTACTTACAAACCTTTTAATCCCCCTTTAAGGACAGATGATACCAACAATTTTTTTCTTTGGAGGAGACTTAATATCATGTCACATGAACTGGAAAATGAAAAAGACTTGGAAAATATTGGTAATATTTCAATGAAAACCAAAAATACACAAATCACACTCAGTAAAGGTTTAAAGGTGAAAACAAATTTCAGAATATGTTATCTTGGTGCTAACAGTGTAATATAAACTTTAGAAAAATATACCAAGCCACGTAAATTTTGTAAGGAAAAGCATAGTGGTGAAAATCAGCCTTTGTGATATTGCTATTTTTTTTCATTTTGTTTTTTCTAATGAAAATTAACCTGGCTTGGTATATTTTTTTGGTCATATTTGTGATTTTATTGAAATATTACTTATTTTTTCTAAGTCTATGTTATTTTCCAGTTCTTAGGAGAAAATTTTTGAAGAATTATCCACATTTCCAAACTTGTGACATGATTTTAAGTCTCTTAAGCTTCCAAAGAAAAAATTGTTTGGATCATCTGTCCTTAACTATATAGTCTTGCTGGATTCGTTAAAACTGTTGATATTGAAACGAATTCGATTTATTATAATTTCTTTGGAATTTGTCATATCGAATTCAAAACGTTATTTCAATAAATGTAATTCAACTTTATCTGTTCATTATAGACATAAACGAAGTGCTAATGCAAACAGTCACTTTGCGACTGAATTCAAGAGGAAACGGTGTAATAAAGGGGAAAATGCAAAACATCTTTTATTCTATAATTCTATACAAAAAAAGCACCAATTATGACAAATTGACATCAATACAAATGATCTGGCAAAAAAAATTATTAACATGATGATAAAAACAATAAATTAATATCTATGAAACACAGGGTAAAACAAATATTAGACGCGTGTTTCCAAAATATGAATTATCACTGAATCATGACTTTTAAACTAACCTGTATATAACAATTATTAGGCCACTATTTGTATATGCGTCAAAAGTATGAGATAATATTTCCGCAGTTGACTGAGATAGGCTGAAGTGTCTTCAAACGTGTGAAGTATAAAAATCAAATTAAGTTTAAAATCAAAACTCTGCTGAGTATTACTTTGGTATTATTGTTGCTTTGTAACATTGATAAAACATACATGGTTATACATTGTAGTTACCATGCACGTAAGATGGTTTGACACGAGTGCCAATGTATTTTGATTGATTGATTGTATATTGTTTAATGTGAATTTTGAGAATTTTGTCACTCATATGGAGATGCCACCGCTTGCCGGTGGAGAGCTGCAATTTTTTTTGTTCTATACTCGACGTGGCACTCAAGGCCATTGAGCAGAGATTAGGGATCTTTTTCATGCCAGCATCAACTGCGACACAGGACCTCGGTTTATACGGTCTGATCCGATGGACCAGTCTCCACGTCCCATCCATGCATTTTGAGAGACGCGGTTATTTGTAGAACACTTAAAACATGAATTAATTAACATGTAAGATTTTATTTCAAATTATCATGAAGCATTAAAGAATCGCTTGTCTCTTCTCTGTCATGTGTCCAGCATAGTTTAGGAAAGACTTTTAAGTGGTACGTTGTGCAAGCCATATTAAAGAACAAAGAAACTATTTAGAGTCAATAAATAGTTAAGCATTAGACAGTTAATACTGAAAAAGGGTACCCAGAGTTTCATTTGATTTGTAAATTTAAATATTGATGGTATTGACGACGACAATTTTTAAGGTGGCGCTAATATTCAAGTATGGCGTTGAATCTTTAATTTTCTAAAGAGTTCAATTTAGGCAGGGCTGACGCGTTAAACGCCGTATGGAAAACCTTGATACGAGTAACCAACTAGCAGATTTACTAACCGATACTCGTATCACTCGAGGGTTTACCGGGTACTCGTTGATAGCACTAACCGGCATCCATTTGTTTTAAAAAGATTGCACCACAAATAGTCTAGTAATAGGGAATCCACAATGAGGCATGTTGCTTAATTATATAATCTCTTTAGCTAGTTACCGACATTCAGTATCTAAAAAGATAAATAAGGATGCGTATTAGTACCACACAGTATTTTTTTAAGTTGGTAATTCCAACTTTAATCTTGGCTTTTCCATTTTTCATTCGAGCTCTTTTACCCCCATTTCTTAGTGATTTTCTTTTGTTTTAAAGTATCACAAACATAATTAATGTGAAAATAACACACTGAAATAGATTTGTTTGCAATTTATCATTGCAATCTAGGGGTTGGGGTTGGAAGAGGGGGGGGGTGGGTAAAAGGGGCGGACGGGGCTATGGGGAGTTATAGTTTTGTACTTTTACAATGGAAAATATGTACTAGCACATTGCCAAGATTAAAGTTGGAATAACCAACTCTAAAGTTGAAATTACCAACTTTAAAGTTGGAAAAGCCAGGATGTAAGCTGGAAATACCAACATGTAAGTTGGAATTACCAACTTTAAAGTTGGAATTACGTACTTTAAAGTTGGAATTACCAACTTTTAAAAGATATTGCATGGCACTAATACGATTCCGTAGATAAAGTGTAATACTGTGCTTTTACAATGGAAAATTAATACTATTACATTGCCAAAATTAAAGTTGGAATAACCAACTCTAAAGTTGGAAAAGCCAAGATTAAATTTGAAATTACCAACATTAAAGTTGAAATTACCAACTTTAAAGTTGAAATTACTAACTTTAAAGTTGGAATTGCCAACTTCAAAGTTGGAATTACTAATTTTAAAGTTGGAAGAGCCAAGATGTAAGTCGGAATTACGAACATTAAAGTTGGAAAAGCCAAGATGTAAGTTGGAATTACCAACTTTTAAGTTAGAATTACCAACTTTAAAAGAATATTGCGTGGCACTAATACGCTTCCGTAGATAGAATATATAAAAGATATACTTTCTTTTTTTTTTTGAATTCATTTAATACCAAAATTTCTATATCTTAAAGTAATTAAAAGAAGAAAGTGCAATGGATCGCATCAAATGCCTGGAGTTGTCAACAACTATTACATGTATCTACTAGTTTTCTGTTGCAAAATTTCTCTCTTTTTTTTGTCTGAGAGATCTTCATACAGGTCTGACGTACAAAACTGTTCAAACTAAAATGTTTAGTCTTCTTATTTAATAACAATATCCATGAGATACATAGATGCAGGAGTTATGATTTATCACTGACATGTAAAAGTTACGTTTCAGTACCACGTGACCCGTATCGAATGTTTGTTTTTTTTTTCGAGATCCTTATGGAATGGATTTCTTATAATCTATTTTACTGTTTTCAAAAGTATTTCAAAGAGACATGAAAACTATAATTCCAAAAATATAATTGTGATCCATTTTGCAGTCGAAAAATTACAGATAAGAGATGTATAAATTCTTAGATACGTATTTAAACTGAACTTTTCTCATTCTAATTGATTTCAAATAGAAAAATGAAATATTTGAGAGGAAAAATAAGCAAACACTGAAATTATTTTTCATTTTAATGAGGTTAAATGGATTTCATTGAAATAAACTACGCATTAAGTATACATGTGCAGCTGCATCCGTGAGTATGTTACATACATGTACAATGTTTTTATTTTTGTATATCATCCAACAGATTGTATAAAGGATGTCCTTGTGCTACAAAAACATTACTGTATGCGACTTTGCGGAATTCCTCCTTGAGATAACTGATACTGATTTTATGTTGTTGCGCAAGATTTGTCTTAGAATTTGCAGGTATAATACATGCTGTAAAGGCATGGGTGAAAGCAACAAACAGTAATGAAATAACTGCAAAATTGTCTAACCCATTAATGTTGTCTAGCACTCATATTCTTTCAAAGTGTAAGAAAGCAAAACAGTTTTATGAAATAATTAAATGTAAATGCATTGCATATTAAACATTCTCCAACCACGAAAACAAATCCCCACAAACCAATGTTTTTTTCCTCAAATCTCGAAAATTTGACCCCACGAAAATATGTGATTTTACAGTAAAGAAGACCTAAAATAGTTGTAAAACAAGGCAGAAAAAATGAACTGAATATAACATTTGCTTATAAGGTCCTTATTACGACATTGATATAATGCAAATATTGACCATTTAGCGAGGCCGATGAAAATCAAATGTGTAAAATCCCAATTTCTTAGGGGGCCCTCCTAAAAATTGTAAAATTTTTCAAAAAGTGCCAAATTTTTATATTTTTCCTTTTATTTTAGTAATTATGCATTTCATTCAAATGCATGAAATTTTTAGTAATGAGTAAGCAATTTTTGAATTTAAATACAAAAAAAGTTGAATTTTACTACTGGACCTTATGGGAATTTGTTGGAAAAGCGCCAAATTTTCACATTTTTCCATATGTTTTGGTATTTATGCCCAAGGGATTTGCTTTGCATTCAAATGCATAAAAGTTATTGTAATAAATGTTACCAAATCGGGACATTTTAAAAAAAGTTG